CGTCAAGAAAGTTGTGTAAGGCCAAGCTCAGCTGAGGTACTGTTAATGATGTCATTGAATTGACCGGGTTCTGAGGTCAACAAACAGGGAAAGAAATTAAGGTCGCAGTGATCTCTTAGACCAGAAAGGGTAGAGTGGTTGTGGGGTGGAGGCTAGGGTAAAGGGCATGGGACTTCATTTTGGGGTGATGAACCGATTCTTAAATTGGCTGTTAAGTATTGGCTGCATGAGTCTGTGAAAGTACTGGAAACCATTCAATGGCACATTTCAATGGAGTGAGCTGTAGTGGATATAACTCATGCCTCAATAAGCTATCATTTAAAAGAATTAAACATGAGGTCATGATTCTTGTCCCTGAACCAGTATTGGGGCCAGCTTTCATGAGACAGGTCATGACTCCACACTCTACCTGTAAATATAATACTGGGTTTGAGAGGCTCTAAGACAATCTAAATAAGAAAGTCCACACTCATGGAACAAGATGATGAAGATTCTGCTCAAAAGGGACACTGGAAATGAAAATAGAATAAGCCCAGCATACTAATTATTAGAGAATTAAACAGTCACCGATTACATCAGCCACCCAATTACAACGGCAGTTCAAGAGGGTTTTACTTAGGAAAGAATCTAGCATCTCAATCAATTGGTACTAAAATCTAAAACTTAAATTTTAAAATCTAATTAATAATAATAATAATGTCCCAGAACGCAGTCAAGGAACTGAAGAATAAGCATTTGAAACAATAAAATGGTTGGCAAATCAATAGTAGGAGGTTTTCACTCAAAAGCAAAAAATAAGTCTCTACATCTTTGGCTGAATTTTTGGATCTGAATACAGACCCAGAATAAGAAAGACATACTGGGTGTTTTGGGTTAAATTGTGCCTCCCAAAAGATTTGTTGACGTCCTAACACCAGGTATGTGCGAAGGTGTCATTCTCTCGAAATCTGGTCTTTGCGGGTAAAAGTAGTTACATGAATGTGAGGTCGTAGTGCGTTAGGTGTGCCCTATGGGAAGAGCAGGCACAGCTGTGAGAAGCACAGGGAGAATGAATGCTGTGTGAAGACCGAGGCACTGATTGCAGTGGGAATCCGCAATTACAGGAACACCAAGTTCCAGAAACTGGAAGTCCTACTCCCAAGATCCTTCAGAGAGAACCTGTCCCTGATGACACCCTGAATTCAGACTTTCAACAGCCACAACTGTGAGAAAATAATTTTTATAAGCCAAGCTGATTGTGGTGTATTGTCTAAAAAATGAATTCATCAGGGACCTCCTCCTAGGGATTACTCAAATGCATTTGAATATAGTGAAAATGGAGCCTACCATCCTATCACACACCCCACTAATTTCTGCCCAGACCTTTTCTTCTCCTGGGGTCCCAATCTCATGCCCTAAGAGCACCGGCAATCTTTCTGATGTCTCCCTCTCTCCCTCTTGTGTAGCCTTTGCTTGCCAGTCACCAGGTGTCAGCTGCCACCAAGCCTCAGCTGTTGTCCTCATCACTTCTGGCCTGGACGGCTAACACAACTTCCTAAGAGATGGCCTGATGCCAGTCTTGCCTGGATGGAATCCATTCTCCATAAAGCCATCAGCTAGATGCACATAGAGTAGAAATGTCAGTACATCACGCTCAAGCTAATATACTTTAAAGACTTCTCCCCATTTCCACTAGGATAAAATATAAAATACCCTGGTATAAAAGACACACTGTAACAGAGGCACTCAACCTGCCTAAGGCCGCAAGCCTTTCATACAGTTCCTCATGTGTGGTGACCTCCAACCGTAAAACTATTTCCGTTGCTACTTCATCACTGTCCTTTTGCTAGTGTTATGAATCTTAATGTAAATATCTGATATGCAGGATGTATCTTCATTGTTACAAATTGAACATAATTAAAGCATAGTTTAACCACAAAATATGTAATTATATATTGTGAAATATTTGTATGTTTTCCGATGGTCTTAGGCGGCCCCTGTGCAAGGGTCGTTCGACCCCAGAGGGGTCTGCTCAGTTCTCCAGATTTGCTCTCTGTGCTGCAAGCATCCAAAAGTTGCAGTTTTCTCCAGATACTGGCTCTGCTGAGGATGAAAACCTGCCAGCTCTGAAGCAGAGCAATGTAACACAAATACATAACAGAAATGGCCTGCATCACAGCATCTTTCCGAAATGAATCTTCATTTTCCATGGCGTTTCCAAACTATCCTTCATATTCACCTCAGACTGAGTCAGAATTTCTTCAACTTCCTAAGACACAAAGCCATATAACCAGTGAATGAGTTATGTGCGCAATACTGCAAAGACCCTTGATGCAGAGTTCACTTCTCGCATGATCCTTAATCCCTCATCTGTGGTGTCCACACAGACTATCCACCAACACTGCCACTGCAGGACAAAATGTATCTTGTCATTTCAAATGCATGTACATTAATTTTCCTTCAACAAACTTCTTTCCAAAATTATAATTTTAAGCATTTGTGCACTGACACGAGTCACAAATACAAAAAAAAAAAAGAGTAAAATTAATTCCCCTTGCCTAAAAAATACTCAGTTAAAGATCCTAGTTCTTCAACAACCACTGGCCTATTTAATAAAACTAAAAATTTGAACTTACCACCATCGAGTTGATGCCAACTCATAGTGACCCTATATAAAGTGCCCAAAATAAAGTTATGGATTAAAAAAAATAAAATGTAGAGGGTTTGTGTGTGTGTGTGTGTTTAATAAACAGTATTTAATAAAGGATCAGGGGGATGGAAAATAATGCAAATAAACATATAGGGAAATCCTCAATGAAAACAAATATGTGTGTTTATCTGTAGCTTAAAGAGATTTTTATAAGCTCTTAATAAATATTTCTTTAATATTTCCTAAGAACCAAAATGAATTCTTTTAGCAACACTAAATACTTTTTGAGAAGCAGTTATTATAAGTGTTCTGGATTTTAGTCATTTAGCCAGCAAACTTTTGTTCTTGATGCTGTTTGTTTACATTTATCCCTTCCATAGCTTGAAAATCCATTAAATACTGAGAGGCGTTTGGGCTATGGTCAGAAAATATCCCGAAATAAAATGTGCCAAAAAGCATTATTAAAATAAAAAGCAAGGTTGTATTTTGCTAGTGCTTATTCATTACTAAGGTTCATTTCAAATCCACTCCATTCATTTTCTAGAAACAGTTTCCTATTCAAGAGCAGCAATAATGGGCTCACACATCAGGACCAGGAGATGTTTCATTCTGCTGTGCATAGTTGCTGTGAGTCAGAACTTCCTCAACAGCACCTAACAATGACATTTAAATGCCCAGACTAAGTATCTGATGACGTTAGCACCATTACGTCAATTAACTACAGGCAAGCTTTCTAGACTAGCCTTATCATTTTTAAGTGATTATTATTATTCCTGTACCTATCTGCATCTGGAGCGCTCTATAACTCATCGAAAGCCAGATAATTGCTAAACATTTTCTCCATTAATATTTGTGGTTAGCACATGCGGTTCTAGAGATGGAGAACAAAAAAAAGCTAGGACATCAACATCACGTCGTACCCGTTCCCACACTTCACAGCTCTGTGCGCAGGCAAAGGGTTCCGTCAAATTAATCTGGAAAACTCAAGAGAAAGACACCATCATGGTGCTTGTGCATGGGAAGAAGTCGTAAGTAAATTTCTTCCCAAAAGGGTGCTTCTTTTTTTTAACTTGACGACTTCTCTATAAAAACAATTTCCAAATCAGCAAAAATCTCTAAGAACAAAAACAGTTCCAAAAAGCTTACAATCGCCACAGAAGATTCATGCTTCAGAGAAAGGTCCTTGGCTATTACAAGAGGAAAGAGTGTGCATGAAGGGAGTCAATGGGGGCCACCATCCTGAACTTCAAAGAGGTAAGATGAAGGCCGAAAGGCCTAAACCATTTACAGGGTTTGCACACAGAGCGACGTGCAGGCAGCAGTATGTGGGAATGCCATCTCTCCCCTTGGATAATCATGTGATCCACTGGGAAAGGCGGTAACCACTGAACCTGTGTCAACATCTCAAAAATAACCATGGTCAAATGGTGCGCGAATGGAGACATAAAGAAGCCACAGAAATAAGCTGGCCAGGAGACTTCCCTGTGGAGATGGCCTTAGAACAGCACTGGGGAAAAAGCACTTATTAATGGCAAGCGAAGGCCATTCTATACACATTAAAGGAGTGGTTCAAGGTCATTGAAGCAGCAATAACCAAATCCAAACCCAGTGCCACTGAGTTGATTCTGACTCATGGCGACGCCACAGGATAAAGTAGAACTGCTCCTGTGGGTTTCCAAGACTGTACGGCTTTATAGGAGTAAAAAGCCTCCTCTTTCCTCCAAAGAGCAACTGGTGGTTTCCAACGGTGGATCCTTTGCATGGCAGCCCAACACATAACCACGATGCCCCAGGGAAGCAGTCACAGGAGGGGAGAAGAGAAGACTCAACCATGCTTTAAGGGAAGGTTTGGCATTAACACGGTTCTTGATGAAGAAATGTCACACCTCAGGAGCCTCAGCCCAAACAGATAATCATGGAATCAAGGGAACAGCATGCAAACAGTGCCCTCCCTGGAGGCTGATAGTCTTCACTGTAAACTAAGCTATCGTGCCTTTGTGACTTTTATGCTAAGTATTTCTAATAAGTGGGAAAATGAACAGCTTACCAGTGAAGGGAAAATGCACTTATAATTTAGGATTCAAGAAGGCCAATTGTAACAGGGTTGTGCAGCCACCCAAAAAAAGAAAACAAAAGAGTATCGATGAGCCAAGAGTCTAAATAAGTAATGCTTCCAGAAACCAAGGTGCTTTTCCCTCTATGATTAAGTAAACGAATGTGACAGGTCTTGTTTCAAGTAACAAATTGCTCCCAGGGCTGCACGGATCTCACAACGGCGAGCAAGGTGACAACCTTCTCTTTTAAGGCTAGCACACGCGCACACAGACAAGTCGAAAGCACAGAGACTGCTTGCCGTTTCCCAGGTACGCACCTGCATCTGCTGGTTGAGCTCCTGGGCCAGAGTACTGTCCTGAAGAGCATTCTCTCTCTGAGAGGCATCGGCAAGCACGTTCACGGTGGCTTCTGCTTCCTGTATCCACTTGAGAAAGTTCTCCAGGTCCCTACGAGAGGCCTGCACTGTCCTCAGCTCAGCCTCCAAGGTAGTCTGTCTGTCAGCAATGCTGAAAGAGACAACATGACAGGCATGGCTCCATTGCTTACTGTGCGACACACACACAAATCCACAGATATCTGCAAAGAAACTTCTATTTAAGTCACCTACAATATCTGGGGACGGGAGGGTAGCAGTGGGGGGTGGGGAGGTGTTGTTACTCATGTGCCACTTGAACAACTGTTGAAGAAACAGCAGTGTGCATTGTGGGTGGTACAAACAAAGTACTGGCTGCTGGTTCCAAACAAGTAGCCATTTAAGTGAGATATCAACTAAGTCCACATGGAAAAAGCACACCAACATCCATGATCCAAGGATTGTAAACATATAATCCAAAGCCTAAGAAGGGAATAGGATCAGAGCTTAAATTGTGAGATTCTGGTTGGAAGAAGGCTATGGGTGACCGTGGAGCCCAAAATACATTTACGAGAGCTACACAGGAGAAAAAGCCTCCCGCGATTTCCCTAGAACCATAATTGAGGGATGAAAATGAACCGGTTACAAAAGAGAGTCTTGGAGAGATGACTGTCATAGATCAAAATGATAAACTTGACGTGAACAGTTAAAACCCTGTCTCCTGATCTGCCCTCTGATATACTTTGGGCTAGATCGGCTTTTAAATGCTTTCTGTGTTTCGTATTGCTTTTCATATTGGGGTTTATCTCTGATGTATTTTGTCAAGGCGGGCAGCATTCTTGAATCTTTGTTGTGTTTGCCTGCTTTTTGGTAATATGAACTCCAAGACTGGTGAACTTACAGAGGAAATAACTAGAAGAAGGGTTCCTGAGGAGTATGAGGAGGCGGTGGGGGAAGGGCGCTGATATGAAGGAGTTCAAGAAGGAAGAACATGTTTTAAAACTGATGGGAGTTATGATGGCAATTGTACAATACTGCTGGTTGTGACTGAATTATGGAATGATATAGGGTCTGGAGTAGCTCCTAATAAAATGGTTGGGGAAAAAAGTACTAGGCTGCTAACTAAAACTAGTAGTTGGAAAGAAAGGCTGAACATCAGCCACTGAAAACTCTGTGGGGCACACACAGTTCTACTCAACTTTGGACTCAAACCCATCAAGTCAGTGAAATGGAAAAGGAAGGAGACAAATATTAATATCAATCACACCCATCCCCATAACAAAACAATTATGATTACATATTATAAATTATAATTCCAGATTAGTATACTTTATCCCAAACTTGTGTGATACCTCACCCTTTAAAGACAGTATCTATAAATATGAATGAAATGACTGACTAAATGCATGCCATGAAGAATAAAATTAGAAGAGATAACTTATGATGAAGTAACTAATTGTATAGGGTCTATTTTATAAAATTTTAAGCAATTCAAACCAATGTAGGTTGGTTTTTGTAAACTCCTTAAATATTATACTTAGAAGACAATCAAGCTTTTTATGAACGCTTCATCAAATCTACATCAACATTAACTCTTCTGACCCATGACCTCTCCTGACATTACTTGATTTTAAAGACAGACACACTTGTTAACTGGACATTTGGCGTTTCTAAATAAAAAGGCAATTAAAACATGAGAACCAGCAAGCCCTCCACTTGCTATTTAAACCCGAGTGTTAAAAGCCTGTGTCTCCACAGAACACTGGGTGCCACTGTTCACAACAGCATTCTTCTCAGAGCTACAAGGTGGCTATCAACCCTACTTGTCACCAGGTGACCAGAGGCTCAGCAGCATGGCCTGTACACACAGGGGTTCCTGTGCAGCGATGAGAAGAAGCAAGTTCTGAGCATGCTACAACATGAAAAAACCTGGAGGACATCATGCTAAGTGAAGGAAGCCAGACAGAAAACCACATGGCTTTCTAATCCATGTATGTGAAACATGCAGGAGAGGGAAGCCCACAGAAAATAATTGGCAATGGCTCAAGGCTGGGAGTGGTGAGGAAAACGATGTTCCTGCTGGTTCTCTCTCTGGTGATGAAAACGACCCTGATCCTCAGAGGGGTGCTGGGAGCACTACTCTGGGGCCACCCTGAAAACAGCTGAAAGGTGCTTATGGTGTGTGGAGGGGAAAAAATCATCATGAAGAATATGATCGAATTTATGTTTTATCTGTCTGTCCACGCATCCATTCATCCACCTGTCCAATCTATCTCTATACTTAATGGAAGAAATGTCCAAAATGTGGTGAAAATTAAAACAGCTGTTTGTGAGTAGAGGGATTTTCAGTGGTTATCTGTGCTTTTTGGCAATTTTTTACTTTATCATTAGCATGAATCATTTTGATAAACACATTCTTTAAAAATGAGTGAAAGATTTTAACACATAATTCACCATTGAAGATGGACGATGGCTAGTAAGTACATGAAAATATGTTCAACATCATTGTTTCAATCCAGAAATGTAAATTATAATGATAATGAGATATCATTACATATCTGAGTGGCTTCTTTTTTGTTACAAAATGACTACAATAAATGCTGATGAGTGTGTACAGCAACTAAAACTCGTCGATGTTGCAGGAAAGAATATAAAATGGTACAGTCATTTCAAAAAACAGTTGCCGATCTGTTGAAAAGCTAAGCATACACTTAGGACACAGCTGAGCAATAGCATCATACATAATTACCTAAGAGAAATGAAAGCATAAATCTGTACTCAAGTGTTTACAGCAGCTTTGTTCATAACGACCAAAATCTAGAAACAAAGCAAATGGTGTCATCTGGTCAGTAGCTACAGAAACAGTGAGACACGCGTGCAGTGGAAGAGTGCTCGACAATAAGCCAGCTGATGAAGAAGCAACAAAGACGGCAAATCAACTGCATCCGGCTAAACGAGAGAAAAGTCAGACACAAAACAACTACCTATTAGGGTTCCACTTATATGACTTTCTGGAACGTTGTCAGCCTCATGTCATCTTTGCTCAGTTATCTAAAACAACAAATTCAATTCAAATGACCCAGCGTGAAATTCAATGTATTCCATGATCCATCATCCAGTTTTAATTCCTAGACCCCAGGCAAGTCCAAATGGGCTCCTTCTTTTCTCTCTAGAACAGGGTCGACCCACTTGTGAGGCACAGGGGCCAATCCTCTCCTTCACAATTATCTAAAAAGTATTTGAGAGCCATAAATATTTTTTTACAAACAAATGAAACCACTATTATCTGAATAATATCCTTTGAAATTTTTCGATTTTTAATTCAGAGCTACAGATGGCTCAAGAGCCACAGTCTGAGCTAGAACAAACAACGCAATGCATTGCTTTGTTCATGCACACAAATGCACACACCCAGAGGGCCCTTTAAGAGTTAAGGATTACCTCCTCCAGACCATCCCCTACCAATTAAGATTCCCTTGCTCTGGGGCCATAAGAACTCAGTACTACTTGATATCCAGAAATCAATCACACATATCCTTTCCAAAGTCCCTGGATGGTGAACTTGCTTCACTCTGAAATCTTCCTTTTGTCATACGGTTTCTTGTCTGTCCATCTGATCTGTAAACTCACTGAGGACAATAGACGGTCTTCTCTATCTTTACGGTCTTCAGAATTCCTGTTACAAAATTATAACGAGACTTTTTCTTTCTTTCTTTTTTTGAAGAATACTGACAATCTAATCATGATCTACCTTTATAGTTACCTCCCACACACCACTTTTCAAGAAGCTGCCAGGCAATGTCCCCCATGACATTCAGAGTGTAAATCAAGAAAGAGGAAGATCACAGAGACGAAAACACGAGCGCTCCCACCCAGGGGAGAAGCAAAGGGGTCTCGGCTCCTGGTAAGAGAAAGCCAAGCCCACCGCGTTGGAGTCAATTCCAACGCATTGTGACCCCACCTCGGGTTTGGGGCTGAACACTGTTACAGGGGCACAGAGCTCCCTCTTTCCCTCACGCAGCCTCTGGACTGCGGTTAGCAGCCCGGCGCTCAGCCGACAGCACCGCCAAGGGGCTCCTAGGAGAGCAGACATATCACCCTCGTGCCATCTACTAGGGGTTCTGGTTCTCCGTGGACAAATCCGACAGACTCCACGCCGACAGAATGAGAAAATAAACCAAACCGGAGTCACAGGATCCAGAAGGCACAGGCTCTAAGCTCAGGGGTGGGGGAGGGGTGCAGCAAAGACAAGACCCAGGATGATGGTCATACAGCAGGTCTAGAAAGTGTGTCTCCTGAAGAGGAATCTGCAGGACAAAATATCATGCGAGGTGACAGTTTGTTCAACATGATCGACTCTGTGGAAAATTGGACTGTCAGACTATTGGAAATGGTAGGAAAATTAGCAGTAGGGATAAAGAAAATTGGGCAATAAAACAAGGCAGTTATTAATTTCTCATAAAGTAAATAGAGAGGAAACAAAATTATAGTAAACCTCAGTTCTTCACTGGTCAGAATGCTTGAACAGGCATAATAATGTCAACACTGAATATCTATTTCTGTAAAAAAATTAAAGATGAGGAAAGGGAAGGGAGAGGCAAGTTTAAGAAAATGATATGCTACCGTAATTGGTCTAAAACCATACCCAAACTCACTGCCACTGAGTAGACACTGACGCGGAGTGGCCCTACAGGACAGCGTGCAATTGCCCCTGGGAGCTTCATGACTGTGACGCTTCTTAAAACCATCTTATTGGCACATAACTTAGCTATCAATCAATTGAATGGCTCAATGGTTCAATCATATCAAGGAGAATTGTACAGTCATCCCCCCGCCCCCATGGTTAAAATGCCCCTAAAATGAGTTGTGTAATCACAATCAATTCTAGTGCTCCCTCCCCACTCCACCTTCATGTTTCCCCACAACAGTTTTATTGGCATTTAATTTACCTATCATACCACGGAAGAGTTCAATTCTTCAGTCATAACAAGGGGAAATGTACAATCACCAACACATCAATCTTCGAGCATCTCCCCCACCAGCCACCCGTTGGAACCGCCTTTAAGATGAGCTGCACACTCCGTTCTAGCGCTCCCTCCCCGCTCCTGCCTTCACTCTTTACTCCCAAGATCCCTGTCCCCTCCTCATGGGCCA